AAGATCAATATTCGCTTGATTGTAAATTTTTAAGCTCTTCGGTTACTGATCGTAATTTCTTTTTCAGAGATGACGGCTTTCGAAAACGATCTATTTTGACTTCGCAATCAATACTTCCTCGCTCTCTCAGCAGAACAGTTAATTGACTCTCTTTTTGCCAAAGAAAGGATACCTTAGCATCAATCTGAAGACCAATTGAGACTTATAACATAAAATTTCAATTGAATCGGACTTGTCAAATAGATTTTAATCACGATCCTCATATTCTTCTTATTCAAATTATTATATCCTCCAGATATGTATTCTGTTTTAAACATTCGATCGTGTAGATCTTATATTAGATTGTTTACACTCTTGTACTTCAATGTTACTCTATGATCATTTAGTGATCGGTTTAGATCTGGAGTATCTGCGGGATCAATAATTCCCCTATAATACTTCTTCGTTGATTTGGTTATAGATCTAAAAGATCTTCGTATTATATAACTATTCCATGGGCTTATCTTGCTCATAAGTTATTTCAACTCTTCACTCTTTCGGATTAATAATTATAACATGATCACGGTTTAATTGCTCATGTTCTTTTGGATAGAAAGAGTTCGGATTATGGTTCACAAGTTACATATTTTATCACTCTGGTTTCAAAGTTCCAAATATCATATCATGTGATCATTTTGTTGCTCAATGACTTCGTTTTGGCCGCTCAGTTATCATAACTCTGGTCTGCGTTGCACCCTTCTTAGTGGTCTTAGAGAGAGAGAGACATAGGAAAAGAGAGAGAGAGACTAACTTCTTTAAATAATAGAGCAGTACCTAGTTCTCTTTTCAGACTCCCCCACGGGTATTTGATCAGTGCAAATGGCTGCGATCATTTAGGTTCCTAATTCAGAGAACATTACTCCTGTCTGTAAAGAATTTTATGGCTGCTTCGGTTATATAGTAGACTTATAAGCATCAATTCCTGTCCTCAAATTGCTGATCTCTAAAGGATCGAACAGTTAGATTCTTTTGCCATTGTCTTCGTCTCTATCTTCTTTGTTGAGATGCAGACTACAGTTATCTGCATATAATTAACCATTTCTTCAATTAACGTTCTTAATAGTTTCGTTATCTGCGATCGTCTGGATTCGTAATTGGAAAGTCTTAACACTCTTCTACGTATATGTCACCAGTGACTGCTGTAGTTTCTGATTTCTGGAGCCAAATTAACATGATCTCCAAATGATCAAAAAAAGTGATTGTTTGCTGAAATTAAGGCAGAATTCTGCTACGATCAGCGTAAGTAGGAGTTGTCTTCTGTGGATATTACAATCATATTGTTACGAAATTGAATTTGCATTTAAACTAAACGGTTTTTAACGGCCAGTTCCCGAAATTTCTTAGCGACTAACATTTGGGTGGCATCACTAAGCGTTGAAGAGGTGTGTGTCTCCACTAAACATTGACTTACATCAGTAGAAGTATCTAGATGATGGAGCCAGAATAAACTGGAAATATAAAGAAGGTGATGCCCATGTATAAATAGCGGTGGCAATCACCAAATGAGTCAGTCTGTAATAAATCGTCATTGAGTAAAGTTAATAAAGTCAAGTGTGCTTTCGTGTGTTAAAGATAAAAAGACAGCCTTACAGTCTACTATATAAGTTGTGTTATAAAAGTATTTGTGTATAAAAACTGTGTAAATAAAGAGTTGTTGTAGTTTTTAACAAATTGACGCTTTTATTTGCAATAAGAAGAATCCAGTTTATTTCAAAAGGAAATAAACGAACGTTTTAAAAGGTAAAACGCAACAATTGGTGTCAGAAGCGGGATTGCATAATAAAAAGCAGTCATGAAGTTCGAAGAACTAAAAGTGGAACAACTCAAGAGAGAATTGAGTAAGATGGAGTTACCGACAGCCGGTAATAAGGCAGAATTGCAAAAGAGGCTAATAGATGAATTCAAGCGGCGTGACATTGACATAGGTACATACGAATTCGAGTACAAAGAAGAAACTGAGATATGTACTCGCTCAACAACGAGCAACATGGACTTAAACACAATGTTTGCCGCTATGATGGAGAAATTTGCTGAAGTTCAAGAAACTTCTAAGGCTAACTACGAGAAACTTCTTACTGACAACGAGAAACTTCTTACTGACAACGAGAAACTTCGAGCTGAGGTTAAAGCTGAAGTAAAGGAAACTTTTAAACACTTAGCTGAAATGGAAGCAAAATTTCAGGAAAGTTCAAGAGCCACAGAAGAAAAAATTCTGGAAGTGTCTGAGGTTATTAATAGCAGAGTAGATGGCATTGACAAAAAGGTGTCAGACTTAGAAACAAAGATGAATAATCTGCAATATCAAGAAGGAGCTGTACGAATCATTCCAGAAACCTCGAGTAGAATAAAAGCCCCTAGTTTTGATGGCACCACACCTTTTAATGTGTTCAAGTTCCAGTTTGAGACAGTTGCCATCAGAAACATGTGGAATAATGAAGAAAAAGCTATAGAATTGATCTTAGCCTTAAAAGGAGGTGCTTCAGTAGTTCTTGAGAGCGTACCAGTGAGCAACAGAAATAATTATGACGACATAATGGAAGCACTACAACGCAAGTACGGTGGAGAACATAAAAAGGAATTATACCGAATGGAATTGCGTGGCAGAGTGCAGAAGGCCAATGAGACACTACAAGACTTTGCATTGGAAATCGAGCGATTGATACAGCTTACTTATCCAGGAGAACATCACCCGTTTTTGGATATTTTCAAGATAGAGGCATTTATAAATGGCATACGTGATCCTGAGATAAAACATGCGGTTTGTGCCACACCAAAGCCATCATTCGCTGAAACTGTCTCATTTGCGCTGGCACAAGAAACGGCTAAAATAATTTCAAAGCCACAAATATTCAAGGTACGAAATGTCGAGGTTGTCGCTGAAAACGAAAGGAATATAGTCACTGAGATAAAAGAGGCAGTTTTAGAGGCTTTAAATGAGAAACAAAATAAAGCCAAAATCAAATGCTATAACTGTGGAAAAACCGGACATATTCAGCGAAACTGCAAAGCACAAAGAAAACGTACCAGATCGGTCTCACCGCCAAGAAACAACCAACAGGTAAATCATCACTCATCACAAGAATCACCTTTAAATTAAAACGAGCTAGCACTGAGGGGCAAGAGCTAGCTCCCACATATGACGGCCCCACAATCTCCATATCAGTAATGCAGCAGAAAAATAGTAATCTAACTGCTGGTGGATACATCAATGGTCGAAAGCACATTTTTACTATAGACACAGGAGCGTCGCAGTCTATTATTAGACCAGATTTAGTTAAGAAAACAATTGAACCACTATGCGGGGTAAGATTACGCACCGCCACTGGAGAGCCTGCCACTGTCTATGGTAAAGTAAATGCGAAAGTAATCATTGCCAACATAAGCGTAGATCATGTATTTATTGTTGCCGATATCGTGGATGAGGTAATCATTGGTGCAGACTTCATGATTATGCATGGCATTAAATTACATCTGGGACCAAATGTTATGATTTGGCGAAATGTTGAAATACCTCTTGATGTCGGATATCAAAGTAAGGCCTATGTAAGAAAACTGGTTGCAGTAGATCATCAAAATTTGCCACCGCCACTGGCCGTGTGGGTCAGTGTTGAGGAAGATTGCATGGATAACAGCTTGTGGGTGGCAGAATCAGCATACGTGAAAAGTGACCATGTTACAATGGAGGTGCCCGTTCAACCGTGCAATGACGATGTGGTTCCTGAGCGAAAGCTTGATCTGCCCAGCTGTAAAGAGGTCGACGAGCTGGATTCCAAGATGGGTAAATGTGCTTCAGCAAAGGCAGCAAATAATTGTGAGAAAAATACCGCCAGGGAATTCACCAAAGAACAAGGACCTAATGAAATCGTTCAGAGACGATTTAAAGTGGCAAGCGAAAAGATGATGGCCAGATATGATCGAGTCGGGAATGTTAAAGAGCCGTTAGTACCACACTATAACCCACAACGTAGTAAGGGATTGTCTTCCAAACCACAGAATTACTGGAAAGTTCAAAAATTGGACGACGTGGTCTATAGGATACGAAAATGTGGAAGACTGTAAATCTGTGCCTATTCGGGACGAACAGGCTTAAGCGGGGGACAGTGTTACGAAATTGAATTTGCATTTAAACTAAACGGTTTTTAACGGCCAGTTCCCGAAATTTCTTAGCGACTAACATTTGGGTGGCATCACTAAGCGTTGAAGAGGTGTGTGTCTCCACTAAACATTGACTTACATCAGTAGAAGTATCTAGATGATGGAGCCAGAATAAACTGGAAATATAAAGAAGGTGATGCCCATGTATAAATAGCGGTGGCAATCACCAAATGAGTCAGTCTGTAATAAATCGTCATTGAGTAAAGTTAATAAAGTCAAGTGTGCTTTCGTGTGTTAAAGATAAAAAGACAGCCTTACAGTCTACTATATAAGTTGTGTTATAAAAGTATTTGTGTATAAAAACTGTGTAAATAAAGAGTTGTTGTAGTTTTTAACAAATTGACGCTTTTATTTGCAATAAGAAGAATCCAGTTTATTTCAAAAGGAAATAAACGAACGTTTTAAAAGGTAAAACGTAACAATATCATCAAACGATCGAAAAGATTATTGTTTCAAATGCTTCTGCCGTCTGATAAATGCGATTGTGATCAGTGTGAATGGTCGAAAACAAGGTTCCCAGGTAACGTTACCCTTGACCTTGATATAATTCAAGAATGTAGCTGATCGTACTTGGAAACTATGGAAGTTCATGGCAGTGTGGTATTTAGGAGGCTCAAACTAATACAGTTCCTTGGACGCTAATGATGTTGAAGGTCAAGTAAAGGTATGTAAAAATTTAAATAAAAACCATTTTTAAAATTGTTTTAAAATTTAAAGTTTATTAAAGATTTCAAAATCATTTTTATTAACAATGAAATACAGTATACAGAACTTTGAAAGGTCGTTGTTTGGACCTTCAACCCCATTACGTTTTAAAAGTTGTTGGTATTAAGTTTTCAATATTATATTAATTAATAACTAATTAAATTTAAAACTAAATTAAGATAAAAAAATAAAAAAAAAATGCAAAATGGCAGAAATTGTACATTAATTAAAAAATTTAAAGAAAATCGAATTAAATTTCAATAATAGCGCACAGAATAATGTGAGGCGGTGTTAAGGGGATATTGAGAATTAAAGTCTTGTTGTGGTGTAAATGGAAAATCTTGTGTAGGGGGTATAAAATTACCAATACCAGAGGGATCATGAAGATTAGAGTCAAATTGATCGTGATAGGGGGCGGCAGCATTAAAATCATAATTAGCGGGCACATTAATATTACCAATATCATTATTAAAGTTTAGATCAGCATTAGGATTAGCCAGGGGATCAGCTATAGAGTCGGCAAGAGGAGCAGCACCATCATTATTTGGAGCTACAGTAGGATCAACATTGGGAACAGCAGCATTGGGCGTAACATTTGGTTCAAAATTGGGTGCCACATTGGGATCAACATTGAGCAGAGTATTGGGTTGAGCATTTGGATCAGCATTGGCATTATCGTTATAGTCTTGTCCAGCGTTATCTGTATAGTCTGTATAGTCATTGGTAGTTGGTGCAGATTCTGCTGGAACTTCTTCAGCGGCATTGTTACTATTATCTTCTGCTGGTGGTGGTGCTGCTGTTGTTGTTGTTGCTGGAACTGGTGCTGGGGTGGCGGCGGCCTTATTGATAGAGATATCTGCAAAGTGAGCGAGTAAAGCCTATATAACGGCAATTATTATTTAGTTCTTGTACTATACCATCTGGTTGCCGGTACTGATACACCAAACGATGACGCAGCTGAGGTATACGTCCTGACACTCGTGCTTGTGCTATCAGTTTTTGGGGTCTGGGAGCAGGAGAACTGACAGGAGCTGGGGCAGGGGCAGCAGCTGTTGCTGCTGGAGCTGGTGCAGAAGTTGCTGGAGCGGGGGCAGCAGTTGCCGGTGCTGGATTAACATCGCTATCATCATAATTATAATCATAATCATTGTAATAATCATAATAGGGAACCTTTTGTTTGGCCAATAAACCAAAAGGTCTACGAGGTACGGGTATTCTTCTAGGCGGTAATGGAGCTGCTGTTGGTGCAGGTGCGGGGGCAGCTGTTGTTGTCGTTGGAGCCATAGTAGTAGTGGTGGTGGTAGTTGTCGTTGTGCTGGTGGTAGTGGGCCTTCGTCGGCGTCCGGGACGCACTGCTGCTGGACCCACAAAGTCATCGTAATCGAAATTGATATAACCACCACCATTGTAATTGAATTTATTATTAATTGGACCACTCAAATCGAAAGGAAACTTAAAGAAGTCGTTTTTATTGAAAAAGAAAGGTATAGGCACAGCTACCGGTGCTGCTGGGGTAGAGGGGGTAGTGGTGGTAGTTGTTGTAGTAGTGGTGGTTCTAGCGGTAGTTGGTCTTCTAGGCGCAGGTGTACTTACTTTTAAATTTGCCACAGTTCTCGAAATATTAGCCTTTGTCTCACTAGCCGCCGCACTTTTCAATAACAAATTACGCACAAACTGGCCAAAATCCACAGTAACAGCTCTTTTATCGCGTTCATCTTCTACAGCAGGTATAGATTGGGCCCACGTCATAGCACTGTTAGCTACCAACAGCCCCAACAACAATTGTCCATAAATTAATCTCATTTTTTGGTTTGAAAAAGTTTGCAGTTTTTTACGTTCCGTTTAAAACCGTTAAGACAACCGTTATGTTTGATCTCCAAATAAGAACTGTTTGTAACAGTCTAACACTTAAACTTACCTTCCAACTAACTACCATGAATTTTTAAACTAAATTTACAATTAATTTGCAGCAATTGTGAATTTTCAAAATTTAACAAGTTTAACAAGTATTTTTGGTAGCAGAGTTAGTTAGTTAGTCGGTTAGTAGTGGTGATCGTTTGCTTTCATTTTCATTGCAATAGTTATAGATTTTGTTGTTCAATGACCAAACGACCGAGCGACACACTGACCGATCGACCAAACACGACCAGGTTAATATTAGCATTAGATTTTTTGTATTTATAAAACATAAATTATGAGTATGACTGGTTTATCCAGCAAAAAAAACAAAAACATTGCTCCTTGTTAACGCTGCACAGTGGGTTGTATTAAAAAAAGGAAACATTTTAAAATAAAACAACTGTAATTATCAAACAGATGCTATAAACAAACAATTTCATAACTAGAGTAGAGCTATAAACAAATTTATGTTAAAAAGTATGGACTTTATTAAGTAGAGGACTAAAATATCTTATTTTTGCAAAAGATTTTAAATATATTATCTACAATCTTCAAATTGCCTTAAAAAGTTGCAAATCCCTTTATGTTATTGTTTATTTTGACAGGTACAGGTAGATAATAACGTGTGGTAGGTACAACCGTATTAGAGAAAATAAGTAAAATTTTGTAAATTTCTTTTTTAAATTATTTTATTCCGGGAAAAGATAATATAAACAAATTATATATCATTATAAAGCTAACTAAGTCTGCTTTTCGAAATTGTATTAAATTCTTAATAATAAGACATTTTAGGAGAGAGTTTTTGAAAAATAAGATACACAAGTTTTAGCTATTAATTTCTTTGAGCTTAAAGACTTTGGAAACAATAACATTAGCCAATAAAGAGATAAAATAAATATTTTATATATCAACGTAAAGAAAATAATGTCTTCTTTTCAAAAATGTATAAAATTTTTAATTTTTAAGAGAACACCGTAAGAATTTCTATCAAATAAAACAAAACGTTTTCAATAGCTACTTTTTTATGGTTACTAACTTTGTAACCAATTATTTTACTCCAGCAAATGTTATAATACACATATTATATATCAATCTAAAGGTTATTACGTCTTCTTTTTCAAAATACATAATATATTTCATAATTAAAAACTTTATGGAAGACTTTTTGCAAAAATAAATCCAAAAATTTTGTTTATCTCCATTACGTTTGAAACTTATTAAACAATTTTGTTTACAAATTTTAAATTTTGTATTTAACTTTTCCTTTTAAACATTGTAATATTTTAATGTTTTCCTTGGCTGAATTTAGATTATTTAATCTACAATTCCAATTCATGTTTCAGCCAATCCTGTCTAACAACATTTCTAATGCAAATGAACTCCATGTTGTTGGGTATATGTTCATTGCCACCACAAAACACCATCTCATAACACACTGTCCCGCAGCATACTATAACCCCTTTGGAAACACTTAATAAATAAAACTAAATATCACGCACATATAAATGTTTTTTTATTAAAAATAAATATCGAATAAAAAAAAATTAAAAACCTATAAAAAACTATAACAAGTAAACATGATTATATAATGATCATTTAAAATTTGAATTAAAAGCTTTTATTATGTCTGCATTATTTCTGTGTGAACCCATATCTTTTCCTATTGAGTTATGTAGTTTGCCGAAAAAATATATATACATATGTATTTTATTATGTGTGTGTTATAATGCATAATATCGTTGAATACTGATAATGACATTGTCTATTGATTGCACATGTCAAGTTCTAAATATGGAACCATTAAAGCAAAGAATGCCAAATTTTGGTAAATAATGAAAGGAGTTATTTTACAAAAATGTCTTTTATTTATTTCTGGTCGTTGTTTCTCAAAAAGTCTTTAACGAAAGTGTATTACACTTTTCAAAAGAAGACAAAATTTCCTTTATATAGATATATAATACATCTAAATTATCACTTCCTAGAGTCAAATAAATCTCTACAAAAGCAATAAACTGCAAAAAGTTAGTGTTTGTAATATTTGTGTTATATTTCATAAATAGTATTCTTTAAAAGTTTAAATTATTAAAGATTTCTTAGATTTTTGAAAAGTATATACAATTTCCTTTCTATTGATATATAATATATCTATTTTAACACTTCCTGGAGTTAAATTAATGCAGACCAAATGAACAGCTTATAATAAGTTAGCGTCAAGGTTGTTTTAGGTTATTTTATCAAAAGTGTTTTATAAAATTTTCAATTATTAAAACTTTCATACATTATTGAAAATTATATAATATTTCCTTTGTATAGATATATAATATCTCCAACATTTATAATCCTACAGTCATATGATTGCATTTCAAAGTTAACAAAGTGACAAAAATTATTATAATATTGTTTGCTTATTTTGCTAAAAATCCAATAGCAAATGCTGAACTTTTAAAAGTTTTATATATTATTTAAAATATGACTTAATTACCTTTCTATTGATATATAATATTAGTACTTTAACTTTTCTCGGAGTGAAATAATTTAATTCAAACTTAGTAACCTAAATAAAAATTTGCTAAACTTGGCAGTTACTTAAATGTATTGAGGGGCACTGTTGTATCTTTAACACAGCATTACCATTTGCTGTATTATCTTAATTTTAACATTTTTGCTAAGGCAAATAAATGTTTCATATTTTTAATGCTTAATTTATATTTTTATACAAAATTGATTATTAAAAGAAGTAAAATGATTTAGTTTTTATATTGATTAATAATTTTCACGTTTTTTGTTTTATTTATAAAAAACAAACAACAAATTTATTATATAAAGAAACACCCTGTTACCATAACACTGCCTTAACGTAATATAAGTTATTATAACAAACCATAAAAAATTAACTACAAATAACAAAGGAATACATTTTTATTTATATTAAATAATTTTTCATTATTTTTCTTCTTTACTTAGTTTCTAAACAAATAATTAACAAAAAATTATAATTTTAGCTCATTTTTTATTAGCTTTCCTAACACCCTGTCACAAAATGACATTTACGACTTTTGTTGTGTTTGGAATAGGGTTCTATAAATCGACTTTCGAATAATCGAACAATCGACTTTTTGTCGAAAAAAGTCGAAAAGTCGAAGTCGACTACTTTGTTCCAAAAAAGTCGATAACTCGACTATCGTCTATGAAAAAGTCGAAAAGTCGACTTTGTAAATAAAAGTCGAAAAAAGTCGAAAAGTCGGAAAGTCGAAAAAAGTCGAAAAGTCGATAAGTCGAAAAAAGTCGAAGAAAGTCGAAAAAAGTCGAAAAGTCGAAAAAAGTCGAAAAGTCGGAAAAAGTCGAAAAAAGTCGAAAATAGACGAAAATTTTAAAAAAGTGGAAAAGAGGTCAAAAACTCTAAAATAGTCGGAAAAACTCGAAAAAAGTAAAAAATAGTCGAAAAAAGTCAAAAAAAAGTCGTAATAAGTCGAAAATAGTCAAAAAGTCGTAAAAAATCGAAAAGTCGAAAAGTCGGAAAAAGTCGAAAAGTTGAAAAAAGTCGGAAAAAGTCGGAAAAAGTCGAAAAAAGTCGAAAAAAGTCGAAAAAAGTCGAAAAGTCGAAAAGTCGAAAAAAGTCGAAAAGTCGAAAAAAGTCGAAAAAAGTCGGAAAAAGTCGAAAAGTCGAAAAAAGTCGGAAAAAGTCGAAAAGTCGAAAAAGGTCGGAAAAAGTCGAAAAGTCGGAAAAAGTCGAAAAGTCGACCATTTATAAAATACTAAAAGTCGAAAAGTCTAAAAGTCGAAAAGTCTAAAAGTCGACTTTTAAATAAATGAAAAAGGTCGAAAAGTCGAAAAATCGACTTTTCATAAAATGGAAAAAGTCGAAAGGTCGAAAAGTCGACTTTTAACTAAATGCAAAAAGTCGAAAAGTCGAAAAGTCGACTTTTCGTTTCAACTATAGAACCCTAGTTTGGAAGCAAAAAGAAGAAAAGCATGATGCAATCATAAGGTGAAGTCAATTCAACAGCTGATCACTATTTTTTTTCGTGGAGGCAAACACAACTGTCAAAATATTTCATTTAGAGTTACCATAGTATTAAAAAATATGTATATTTATCGAGGGATTAATCATATCTTTATGATACTATATTTAAAATTTATAATTAAAAAATAAATTGTTGATATCCTTATATATAAAATTAACGATTTTTTTAAAAGTTTTAATTTAAAATTTTATTATAATTCAATTGGTGGAATTTTTTCCAATCCATATATAATTTTAATAAATTGTATCCTATAATATTTATTACAAGTGGAGACATTTTTGGGTATGTGGTATTTATTGTAAATATTAAAAAAACTCGGTGGCAACATTTACATTTTTTGACAGAACTATTTTTGTAGAATCGATTTCACCTTATGAGTGCACCCTGTAAAAAAACTGAATGCACACTTGTCAAACACATGTAAACATAGGCAAAGAAGTGTTAAAAAGAAAAAGTAGAAATTTTTCCACAGTGCGAAAAAATTAAACGACCTTAATAGCAGAGAAGAAAAAAAGTAAATTTTCTTTTCGAAATTAATTAAGTAAAACTTAAATAAAATTACAAATATATAAACAATAAATATTTAAAAAAATGAAGTGTATAAATTACAATAAAACTACAGTGAATGTGTCGAAAAAAACATGACAAAATTGTAAAGAAAAATCATATTACGAGGTGATTAATGGGCAAAAAATATAAGAGAAGAAATGAATAAAAAAAGTGAAATTCAATAGAATGACGACGAAAAAACACGACAATTATTGAAAAATCAAAGAAATAAAAAAGTTAATAAGAGTTCACAGCATATAAAATGATTATTAAACAAGATTAACAAACAAAGAAATTACGAAAAAGAAAAAAATGTTTAAGAAAATTTACAAATAAATCAAATTACTCAGAAAAAATAAACTAAAACACACACACATATACAAAGTTTGCAACCATCCCGGGAGTGTTGGATTACACACTGGGTTAAGAAAAATATATAAAAATAAATTAAACATTATTAAGCAAAAGAAGTGAAAAAATTACGATTACTCAAATTTTTTTAAGCAGAAAACGAAAAAGAGTTAACAAGTAAACGCATTCATAACATTTAATTGCTGTTTGCAGCCCATTGGCAATGCCTGGGCGTAAGCCATGGGTTCTCAGACCTTGGAAATATTACGTCAAGGCGTCTGGGCCTCTTTAACTGGTGGCTGGTTTTATGATCCTCATCAAAGTGTCTTTTGCAATGTAGTGCACTTGTATTTATGGTTGTTCTTACTCTGTACACCTTTTGTGGCCTACTTGTATTTCCCGGAAACATGGCTAACATGGTGCATTTACTGTATACTCACCAGTGTCACAGTGCTGCTGTTGAAAGTGGCCAATATGGCATTGCATCGTCTATACGATCGGGCGCAGTCAATGTCAGAGGCGAATATAAAGCAACATTTTTTCAAGGTTACCAAGGAAACGGCTACAGAAAGGTAGGTGACCTATATATTGTTATCAACATCATCGTCATCAGCATCTTACTTATGTAGGGGGGAGGGGTAGGGATTGTTTTTAAATTTATATTTTGCTCGCTTGGAAAGACTTTTGTATACATGGAGGTCATTTTGTTTTGATGTTTATACCCTACACCATTATAGTGCATAGGAATAATGGATTTTTGGTGATGTTTGTATACCCTGGTTTTACTGATTCCATAAACTTAACAAATTTGTCCAGAATTTCCTAATACGTCTATAACTAGAACTGAACTAGAACTGAACTAGAACTGAACTAGAACTGAACTAGAACTGAACTAGAACTGAACTAGAACTGAACTAGAACTGAACTAGAACTGAACTAGAACTGAACTAGAACTGAACTAGAACTGAACTAGAACTGAACTAGAACTGAACTAGAAATGAACTAGAACTGAACTAGAACTGAACTAGAACTGAACTAGAACTGAACTAAGAACTGAAACTTAGAACTGAACTAGAACTGAACTAGAACTGAACTAGAAACTGAACTAGAACTGAACTAGAACTGAACTAGAAACTGAACTAGAACTGAACTAGAACTGAACTAGAACTGAACTAGAACTGAACTAGAACTGAACTAGAACTGAACTAGAACTGAACTAGAACTGAACTAGAACTGAACTAGAACTGAACTAGAACTGAACTAGAACTGAACTAGAACTGAACTAGAACTGAACTAGAACTGAACTAGAACTGAACTAGACTGAACTAGAACTGAACTAGAACTGAACTAGAACTGAACTAGAACTGAACTAGAACTGAACTAGAACGAACTAAACTGACTAGACTGAACTAGAACTGACTAGAACTGAACTAGAACTGAACTAGAACTGAAACTAGAACTGAACTAGAACTGAACTAGAACTGAACTAGAACTGAACTAGAAATGAAACTAGAACTGAACTAGAACTGAACTAGAACTGAACTAGAACTGAACTAGAACTGAACTAGAACTGAACTAGAACTGAACTAGAACTGAACTAGAACTGAACTAGAACTGAACTAGAACTGAACTAGAACTGAACTAGAACTGAACTAGAACTGAACTAGAACTGAACTAGAACTGAACTAGAATTGAACTAGAACTGAACTAGAACTGAACTAGAACTGAACTAGAACTGAACTAGAACTGAACTAGAACTGAACTAGAACTGAACTAGAACTGAACTAGAACTGAACTAGAACTGAACTAGAACTGAACTAGAACTGAACTAGAACTGAACTAGAACTGAACTAGAACTGAACTAGAACTGAACTAGAACTGAACTAGAACTGAACTAGAACTGAACTAGAACTGAACTAGAACTGAACTAGAACTGAACTAGAACTGAACTAGAACTGAACTAGAACTGAACTAGAACTGAACTAGAACTGAACTAGAACTGAACTAGAACTGAACTAGAACTGAACTAGAACTGAACTAGAACTGAACTAGAACTAGAACTAGAACTAGAACTGAACTAGAACTGAACTAGAACTGAACTAGAACTGAACTAGAACTGAACTAGAACTGAACTAGAACTGAACTAGAACTAGAACTGAACTAGAACTGAACTAGAACTGAACTAGAACTGAACTAGAACTGAACTAGAATTGAACTAGAACTGAACTAGAACTGAACTAGAACTGAACTAGAACTAAACTAAACTAGAACGGAACTAAAACTATAGCGTATCATTAAGTCGACTTTACTTTCCTATTTCTTGATATATTTTCTTCACAACATTTTATCAATGTAATATTCTACGTCATTTTGCAGAAGTCGTAACAATGAACCTGGCATTGAAATGAAGGTAATGCATGTGGGTGAAGAAGAGGTGGATATGGCAGCATCAGTGGATAAGGCCATCAATGAAATAAGTGCAGAAAATAGTATGGTTTCTATAGACAATGTCAATAGTATAATTGGTAAGAAAAACAAACACTATAGAACTGAACTTAAACTAATTTCTTTCTTCCAAAACTCCCTTTTAGATTTAAAAGTTGATGTACATCGTAAAAACAGCTCTGAATCTATAGAGTTGATGTTCTACGCTCCCTCTATGTTATCCGGCAATAGCCAACAGGATCAACAGTCATTAGCCGGTACGGCTAGTAACTCCAAATCAATACGTTCCTCGCACACTTTAAGCCACAATAATAATAACAACAATAATAACAATAACTCCATAAGCCTAACAGATCCACAAGCCAAATATATATCAGTATATCCCAAAGATAACAGTCCTATAGCCTCTACTAGTTCCAATTGCAATAACAGCAATTTACACGGTACCCATGCAGCTCAAAGTAACGCCCTTATAGGACCCAAGCCACCACATTTGATTAGGAAATCCTCGGAAATAGTAAGAGGTCATCAGCGTCGTCGTCTGGAAAGGCAATCAAGTTTAGATGCAGCCGCAGAATCAGCTATAGTGGCGAAATTGTTAAGACAATCTTCGGATACCACATCCAATACGAAAATGTTAACGGCGCCTTTGAACGCCGCCTGCCAAGGAAATGCTGAAAAATGTGATAGTTTTTTACACGCACAATTAACGAAGGCTGGTACTTCTGCTTCCTCCACGACGACAGCGGCTACTGGAAATTCATCAACTCTAGCTCAGGCACAACGATCAAATACAACGATTTCGAATACGAATGCATTAACGGGGTCTTCATCTGCACTCAAGAGTACTCGCCTGCAGCGGCATCGCTCCTCTGAGACACACGATGAACGTTTGAAACAACAGCAGCGTGGCAGTAGTATGGGGGCGACTGGTGCTGCTCCTGGTGGTGGTATATTTCTCTCCATACATCATGAGAATGGTCATCATTATCATCACTATAGACATCATCATACTCATAGGCGAGGCGGCAGCGGTGGTGCTCCTCCTATAGCCAGCAGTGGTTCAGTGGTTGTTTTAGGTTCAGGTGTTAATACCAGCGATAGTTTTGATGTCGATGATATGGAACTGGGTTTGGGAGGCAGTGCCAATGTGGTGGCTCATGGTAGTCATTTGAGTGGAGATGGTAGAATGAGAGCTTTGCCATCATGGATTTTGGGTAAGTGAAGAAAAATTGTTAGCAAAAGTTTTTGGTGAAAATTTTTAGTGAAAAAAATTGGGTGAAGAATTTTTTGATGATCATTTAGTGAAATTTTTGGTTAAACAATTTTTGGTGAAAGTTTTTAGTATAAATTTTTGGTGGAATTTTTTAGTGAAAATTTTTTGTAAAATTTTTTAGTGAACATTTTTGGTGAAATTCGTTAGTGAAAATTTTTGGTGAAATTTTTTAGTGAACATTTTTGTTGAACCCTTTTTAATGAACATTTGTTGTAAAATATTTTAGCGACATTTTTTGGTGAAAAATTTTGATGAACATTTTAGTGAAATATTTAAGCGAAATTTTTGGTGAAATTTATTTTAAATAAAATTTTCAGTGAATTTTTGAGGAAAAAAATTTTTAGTGAAAATTCTTCTAAAATCTTCTTTTCCTTTTGTTTCAGGCTCCTCATCCGATGTTTTCATTGAAGACGACAGTTTCACTAAATCCGATTTGGGTATCGAACAACTAGACGATCGTAGCGCCTCCTCATCCACGCGTGTTCATCCTCATGCCAATCAGTATCGTTTAAATCATCCGCATCAGACAGCACGTGGTGCCAACATAACTAAAGATCCCATTTATACAATATCAGCTCTACAGCTGCACAAACGCCCGCGACGAGAAGGAGCCATTAAACGACGCCGGCACTCGAATGCCACAACGCTATTTAAAACGCCCACAGATAGTTCCTCAAATGTTGGCAGCCAGCCAGCGACCACAACTACGGTAAGGCGCATTAAAAGTGCTGCTTTAGAAGTGGCCTGTCCACGACCCTCAGTATCGAATTTATGTCCACACCCCAATAGTGTGGAGGCCATTAATGGTCAACAACAGATAAAGAATCCGCAAAATGCTTTGCTGCCGCCGCCCAGCAAATGTCTGGTGCGTAATCCTCATTTGAATTTGTGTCCCAAGTTTGGAGGCAGCTTTGGTGGCAGCTCTACAAATAGTAGTCTGGACTTTGGTTCTACTAATGCTCTCATAGATCCCGTGTTTGAGCTGAAGGAACAAAAGGAGAAACAAAAGAAATTGGAATTAAAGAAAAGTGAAGATGCGGAAAAGGAGGAAGCGAGTAGTAAAGAGAATAAAACGAAAGTAGAGGAGGTAATGGATGATGAATCTCTAGGGGCTGTAGGTGGAGTATGTCCTCACCACTTCCTACATTCCCATAATCAGCGTCAGCATCATCATAGTGCTGAATCGGATGTGGGTCAGATATTGAATGACAATAAAAACGATGAGGAGGAAGAAGAAAGTGAACAGTTGAATGGTGATAATGATACGGACAACAACGATGAAGATGAAGAAGAAGATGAGGATGAAGACGATGAGGAGGAGGATGATGAAGAGGAGGAAGATGACGATGATGAATTTAAGGATTTCGATTATAATGTAGAGCATATTTTAGAGGTTTTGGAACATACCCACAACCAGCTGGATGATGATTTAAGAAATCATCAGCAACAACAGCAGCAGAAGCAAATAGAGATAAATAAACTGAAAAAAGAAAACGAGGCGGAGCATCAGCATAATAGTGTTTTAAAGCGAGAAGAGGATGATGAAGAGGAAGACGATTTAGAGCATGAAGGTGCCATAGCCTTAAGAGAACGTTTACATTCCACAGATTCTGAAACAGATAATAACGGTTCACGCTCTCCTTTACTGAGTAGCAGCAATAAAAAATGGATTTGCACCACCAAGGAAAAAATCAATGATAAACAATTGAAAGATGAAGTCAAAGCGGTACAAAAACAAAAGCATTCCCTTAATAACAAACAATTAAATATGGCCAAATTGGAACAGCCCGATGGTGATCCGCAAGCAGCCCCTGTACAGGCTGCACAGGCAAATCAACAACAAAATCAAAATAATGTTAGAAGAAATGAAGCCGATTCCGGCTGTCCTTCCAGTGATTGTGAACAAATAAGTGCCAGTTCTAAAGATGTCTTATTGTCCTCCATGGAATTGCCAAAATCTACTAAAGAAATAGAAGCTACAGAGAAAACAAAAAACTCTTTAGATTTAGCCGAAAGTTCCAGCAGTAGTAACACAGCGGTGGGTAAACGTTTAGGAGCCATACCCAAACAAGTGCAATATAGAGAAGTAGATGAAAGAGCGGCCGCCGATTCCTTGCAATTAAGCGGTTGTTCGCATAATTACAAAAGGCATGCGGGTAACTGGAGTTCAGTGGCTCCCTCAAGTCAATCTACCCAGACTCCCAACTTAAAAGGCATTTCTAGAACTTCCTCCTCTTCCAATAGCTCTCATAGCGTTAGTGCTGAATCTTTTACAGCGGATATACACAAAATGCTTTGGCTTATGCATGGCGGGGCGGTAGATGAACGTGGTCGACCGGTAAATGCAGAAAATTTAGCCTCCATACCTCCTCCTAATCAAAGTAACATGTCCAATGCTCATTTGCAGTTTTATCAAGATGCTTTAAAAGCCTTAAACTCTGCTTCCTCGGCTGAGAGATTAGCCTTAACCGAACGTTTGTATCATAGAGAACAATTGCTGAGACGCAGCTCTAGGCAAAGAGATGCCGAATCCAACAGTGCCATAGAACAGTGGCATTTGGATTGTAATGATTCGGGGCCTCATATGTTAACCACAAACGGTTCACGCTCTACTCCTCTCACGCAAGTAATGATAGACTCTCCCTCCTCTGCAAATGTTCTAAATAATCGTAATGTTAGCGCCGCCACCACTGTCTCATTAAAAGGTTTTATACAGGAAATCATTAACGATGAATTGCGCAATTTGGGTTCTACGCAAAGAGTAGGCTCCACACCCTTAACCTCGGCTAACAATAATGCCACCATGGCTGCCATACTCAATGTGGATGGTCATCATATAGAAAACTACTGTGACTATTGGCGTCCCACCTGCATGTTGTCATCGGAAAAACCCTCCATTGCGCCCAAATCATTCTACAAATATCGCTTCAAATTGGGCAACTTTAAGCAAGAGTTTAAAATCTCCATGGATCGTTTGGAACTATTGGCTCTATTCGATCGTGATATCCATTGGTTACATATATTCCTATCGGTATTTCTAAGTGCTGCCGTAGCCTATTTAGGCTCCTCCATACTACAGCACAATTACTACAAAGATGTGTTCGCCTTTTTGTTTTGTGCTGTCATAGCGGGTTCACAATATTCTTTGCTGAAAAGTGTACAACCAGATGCTGCCTCTCCCATACACGGCTTCAATAAGACGGTGGCCTATTCGCGTGCCATTTATTTTTGCATGTGTTCGGGTTTGTTGCTGATATTTCAGCGTTTGAAAGTTGAATACGATATGGCCGCTATGAAGGGAGAACCTCAGCCGGAATATACATTTTTTGGTATTGAGTTTCAACCTGCCCAAGTGAATGGCTTGGTTTTACAAGCTCTTTATATATTTTTGTTAAGTTTTCCCTTGATCTTTTCTTTGGGTTTGTTTCCGCAAATCAATACTTTTACCATGTATCTGATGGAACAGATTGATATGCATGTGTTTGGTGGTAATGCAGCGGGAAGTTTGATAGGTAAGTGGGTTTTCTTAAATAACTTCTGTTTTATTATATCCGATCTATTTGAATTTTAGTTTAGTTCTAGTTCAGTTCTAGTTCAGCTCTAGTTCAGTTCTAGTTCAGTTCTAGTTCAGTTCTAGTTCAGTTCTAGTTCAGTTCTAGTTCAGTTCTAGTTCAGTTCTAGTTCAGTTCTAGTTCAGTTCTAGTTCTGTTCTAGTTCAGTTCTAGTTCAGTTCTAGTTCAGTTCTAGTTCAGTTCTAGTTCAGTTCTAGTTCAGTTCTAGTTCAGTTCTAGTTCAGTTCTAGTTCAGTTCTAGTTCAGTTCTAGTTCAGTTCTAGTTCAGTTCTAGTTCAGTTCTAGTTCAGTTCTAGTTCAGTTCTAGTTCAGTTCTAGTTCAGTTCTAGTTCAGTTCTAGTTCAGTTCTAGTTCAGTTCTAGTTCAGTTCTAGTTCAGTTCTAGTTCAGTTCTAGTTCAGTTCTAGTTCAGTTCTAGTTCAGTTCTAGTTCAGTTCTAGTTCAGTTCTAGTTCAGTTCTAGTTCAGTTCTACTTCAGTTCTAGTTCAGTTCTAGTTCAGTTCTAGTTCTAGTTCAGATCTAGTTCTAGTTCTAGTTCAGTTCTAGTTCAGTTCTAGTTCTAGTTCAGTTCTAGTTCAGTTCTAGTTCAGTTCTAGTTCAGTTCTAGTTCAGTTCTAGTCAGTTCTAGTTCAGTTCTAGATCAGTTCTAGTTCAGTTCTAGTTCAGTTTCTAGTTCAGTTCTAGTTCAGTTCTAGTTCAGTTCTAGTTCAGTTTAGTTCAGTTCTAGTTCAGTTCTAGTTCAGTTCTAGTTCAATTCTAGTTCAGTTCTAGTTCAGCTCTAGTTCAGTTCTAGTTCAGTTCTAGTTCAGTTCTAGTTCAGTTCTAGTTCAGTTCTAGTTCAGTTCTAGTTCAGTTCTACTTCAGTTCTAGTTCAGTTCTAGTTCAGTTCTAGTTCAGTTCTAGTTCTGTTCTAGTTCAGTTCTAGTTCAGTTCTAGTTCAGTTCTAGTTCAGTTCTAGTTCAGTTCTAGTTCAGTTCTAGTTCAGTTCTAGTTCAGTTCTAGTTCAGTTCTAGTTCAGTTCTAGTTCAGTTCTAGTTCAGTTCTAGTTCAGTTCTAGTTCAGTTCTAGTTCAGTTCTAGTTCAGTTCTAGTTCAGTTCTAGTTCAGTTCTAGTTCAGTTCTAGTTCAGTTCTAGTTCAGTTCTAGTTCAGTTCTAGTTCAGTTCTAGTTCAGTTCTAGTTCAGTTCTAGTTCAGTTCTAGTTCAGTTCAGTTCTAGTTCTGTTCTAGTTCTGTTCTAGTTCTGTTCTTATTCTGTTCTAGTTCTGTTCTAGTTCAGTTCTAGTTCAGTTCTAGTTCAGTCTAGGTTCAGTTATAGTTCATTGATAGTTTCAGTTATAGTTATGTTCTAGTTCAGTTCTAGTTCAGTTAGTCAGTTCAAGGTCAGTTTAGTTCAGTTCTAGTTACAGTTATAGTTCAGTTCTAGTTTTTCGTTCTAGTTCAGTTCTAGTTCAGTTCTAGTTCCAGTTATAGTTCAGTTCTAGGTCCAGTTTGGTTCAGTTTTGGTTCAGTTCTAGTGCATTCTAGTCAGTTCTAGTTTCAGTTCTAGTTCATGTCTAGTTTAATTCTAGTTCAAATTCTAGTTCAGTTCTAGTTCAGTTCTAGTTCAGTTCTAGTTCAATTCTAGTTCAATTCTAGTTCAGTTTCTAGGTTCATGTGTATATTTCATTTGTGGAGGTGTGCATAGGATTCAGCATAGTCTAATATCACCCTCGTACTTGTTTTTGTGGTTAATCTGTTTTGTTTTCATTTTCAGGTTCTGTCCTTGTGTGTAATACGTTCATTTTTGGGTGTTATGCTTTTGTATGGTCCCCTTTATGCGGCCTTCAGTGAGGGCAAGGGTACTCAACACATAATCTTCTCTATATTTTGTGCTTTGCTTATACCCTTGGGCTATCATTTGTCACGCTCAGCCAGTGATTTTAGCCACATATGGGCTATAGTGAAAAATTGCATAATGTCTACCTATCACGAGGATGACGATGAACTAAGCAGCACCAGTACACAGAAGCTAACCTCTAGTACACCGAAAAGAAATAGCACGCATAAGAAACGTGATGAGGAAACGAATACACAACAAAGTGAAAATATTGAAATGTCTTCATTGGAAAAGATAGGTGAGAATAATGAGACCCCCGAAGAAGAGGTAGAGGCAGATAAGGAACAGACATCGTTGCAACAAAAACGCAGTAAATCGAAGGCCTCTTCTTTGGGTAGTAGTAGCCAGACTTTGGGTAAAACTTTATCCACCAGTAAAAAGGCCATTACAGCTTCTTCTAGTTCTTGTAATTCGAATTTGGAAACTGAGCCTCATATTAAAGAGGAAGAGGAGCTGGAGCCTCAACAAACTAAAAAGGAAAATGCTGCTGTCTCTTCCAAAGAAACAGAGGCCGATAAAATGTCTACATCCTCTACCACCAATCCAGCGGAAATGTCCACTTTGACGGGGGCAATAAATGAAAATGATAATGAGGTTTTCACCATGAATTGTCCAGATGTATCGAATGCTGAGTCAGAAACTAATTCCGATCCTTTACCCAAAAAGTTACAGTACACCGTTAATACTCGTTTGAAAAATGATTTTGTGGTCACCATCTTTCTGGCAGTGGTTGTTCTAGGTCTACACTGCAGCACTGTGTTTACAGTATTACAACCCGATTTGAATATAGTATTATATGGCTTCACGGGAGCTTTGGGTTTCTTGCTACACTATATCATACCACAAATGCGCAAACACATGCCTTGGCTGTGTTTTGCCAAACCTTTGCTGAGACAAAAGGAATATGGACGCTATGAGGTTTGTCACGCTCCCAAAATCATGTGGTTTGAAAAGTTTTATATCTACTTGTGTCTGCTGGAGAAAAATGTTTTATTTCCTTTATTGGCCATTTCGGCTTTAACGGCTGATGCTTCGGTTATAGCCGCTAAATATGGCATAGCTTGGGGTACTTTAATTGTGGCAGTATGCGCTTTAAAATGTAAGTTTTTCCTCTTTCTAAGAGAAAGGCAAAGAAACCTACTTGATCTTTTTATCAATCTAATATCGTTTCAGTTATACGCAATGCTTATTCGGATCCTACCAATCAGTACCTGATCGTTATGTTTACCGTTTTATTCTTTCGCATCGATTTCGCCATGGCTTCGGAGACTTTTCTTATTGATTATTTTTTCGTTTCGCTGGCTTTTAGGAAATGCTGTGATTTCTTTTTGAAGGTAAGTACAAAAATTTCACTTAAAATTTTTTAAAATTTCACTTAAAATTTTTTTAAATTTCACTTAAAATTTCTTTATAATAAATATTTTCTTCTAAAATTTAATTAAGAACGCTTTAACAAAAAAAATCCACTAAAAAGGTTTTACGCAAAAAATTTCACCAAAAATTTTCATTTTCGCAAATCTGCAAAAAAATTTTCTAAAAAACACGTTCACTAAAAATTTTCATCAACAATTTTCGCCAAAAATTTTTCCCCAAAAATTTTCACTAAAAATTTTCACCAAAAATTTTCAATAAAATTTTTCACCAAAAATTTTCACTAAAATTTTTCACCAAAAAGTTTCAATAAAATTTTTCACCAAAAATTTTCACCAAAAATTTTCACCAAAAAATTTTCACCAAAAATTTTTCACTAAAAATTTTCATTAAAATTTTTATAAAAAATTTCGCCCTTTTAATATTTTTTTCTTCCCCTTTTACAGCTGCAATTTATAGTCACTTATATAGCACCTTGGCAAATAACTTGGGGTTCAGCATTTCATGCATTCGCCCAACCGTTCAGTGTGCCCCATTCGGCCATGTTATTCCTGCAGGCTGGCATATCGTCATTACTCTCAACACCCCTGAATCCCTTTCTGGGTAGTGCTATATTTTTGACATCCTACGTTAGGCCCATTAAGTTCTGGGAACGTGACTATAATACACGGCGCATAGATCACTCGAATACCCGTTTAAGTTCACAACTTGAACGTGATTTGGGAGCGGATGATAATAATTTGAATTCGATATTCTATGAGCATTTAACACGTTCCCTACAGCATTCACTGTGTGGTGATTTGCTAATGGGTCGTTGGGGTAATGTCAATCAGGGTGATTGTTTTGGTGAGTTATTTATATTCAATTAGTTGATAATTTATTAAGGGATTTTTTGTTGGTTTCAGTTCTGGCTTCTGACTATTTAAATTGTTTGGTTCATATCATCGAGCTGGGCAATGGTTTGTGTACCTTTCAAATGCGCGGTTTAGAATTTCGTGGCACCTATTGCCAACAGCGTGAGGTAGAGGCCATAACAGAGGATGTTGAGGATAATGATGGCTGCTGTTGCTGTGATCCTGGTCATTTGCCTCGTATGCTTAGTGCCAATGCCATGTTTTCAACACGTTGGCTGGCTTGGCAAGTGGTGGCTTCCCAATATGTGGTCGAGGGTTATTCGATATCCGATAATTTAGCCAGTGCTACCTTACAAGTATTTGAGTATCGTAAGGTTTTGATAACCTATTATGTTAAGGTGAGTTTGTTACTAAATTTGGTTCCTGGGATTTGAAGGTTTCCTAATGTTTTTTCTTTTTCTTTCATTATTAGAGTATTATTTATTATGTTATTAAAAATCCTAAATTGGATGAATGGCTGAATTCTGCTGTGATACAGGAAGCTTTACAGCACACCATGAGTAGACAATTTGTGGACCTGGATCCTATTTTCAATTTTAATTTAGATGAAGATTTTGATTTTCGTGCCGTGGGCATAACACGCACTAGTTTTTGTTATGTTTACCTGAGTTGGCTGAATTATTGCTATGACAAACGCAAGGAGTCATTAAATCCTACACAAAATCCAACACAAAATCCCACACCCACTTCTGGTCAGGGAGTTACCACCCAGCAACCACAACCAGCAACTGCTGCCTCTACCAGTACTTTGGCTAGCACTCCCAACTTGTCTACGGCCCAACAGAAGTCTCAGTCACAGCAGCAGCTTAAGATAAGACCTCAAAAAAGTGCCACCATGACAGGCAGTAATGAGGGTGTGGTTAACTCCGTGGAACAAATGTCTACTTCCCATTCCCTAGCCAATATCTCACGCCAAACTTCAGAAAGTGCTCCAGGCTTGAATTCAACAACACCCTTAACCAGATCCAGTAAATCGGCACCCTCGGGCAGTAAACATGGTTATCAAAAAGGTGACTATTCTCCTTCTGCTAGGCAAGAAGCCAGAGCTGCCTCAGCTGAACCTTCCAGAGGATTGCAACCAGATAAACCTCCTCAAATAAAACTAAAAGTACCTTCTATAGCTAAAGACTCGCCCATAGTTTCGCTATGTTTGGCTTTAAGTCTTTTGGCTCGCAGATCCCTGGCCACTGCCTCTCATAGTTCTCTAACAGGAGTAGAATTCTTTTTACACGGTCTACATGCTTTGTTTAAGGGAGACTTTCGTATAACTTCACCCCGTGATGAATGGGTATTTGCTGATATGGATCTTTTACATGCGGTAGTAGCACCAGCGGTTAAAATGGCCTTAAAACTGCAGCAGGATCACATTTCCAATCCTGATGAGTTTCGAGATCCTGATGCTTTATTTGAAGCTATAGATACCTGTGCCAAAGATTTGGTTATTTCCCACGAGGCCGATCCGGTATGGCGTAGTGCAGTTTTGAGGGGTGCTCCCAATCTCTTGGCTCTTCGTCATGTTATGGAAGATGGTTCAGATGAGTATCGCATCATACGCTTGACCAAACGTTTCCTCACCTTTCGTGTTATCAAATTAAATCGGGAATGTGTGCGTGGTTTGTGGGCAGGACAGCAACAGGAATTGATTTATTTGCGCAATCGTAATCCGGAAAGAGGCAGCATACAGAATGCCAAACAAGCCTTGCGCAATATCATAAACTCCAGTTGTGATCAGCCTATAGGATATCCCATCTATGTTTCTCCCCTAACCACTAGCTATGCGGACACTAATGAACAGTTAAAGGATGTTATAGGAGGACCCATTACCCCAGATGCTATAAAGAATAACATATTACAATGGTGGCATCATATAAGGGAAAAGTGCCGCCAGGGCTGCAGTTCAGGCTCTTCCATAGAAACCACACATTTAGGTTTACCCTCCGGAGCTTGCAGTAATCTGGGAGAAAGTGGTGATTTGAGGCCCGTATATATTTCTCCACCCATTTATAACACTTTGACCGCTAGTACAATGTTTAGTTTAGCCGCTACGGGAGTACCTGGAGCTACTTTAAGCTCACAATTTGGCAGTGATGGTTTATCCTCCATGCGCAGTTCTATAACCGTTATCAAACCTTCCTCTACCACCTTATTGGCTGGTCTACTCAATCGTGAACAGGAGCTGCTAAAAGAAGCTAGAGCGGGTGGTAATAAACAGCAACTTTCATCTTCCAGCATTAGATCTTCAGAGCGTAGAGCCACTCTACCCATAGCCAGCACTAGTTCAGTTTTACCCGAAGTCATTAAAGATTCCGATGATTCTTCGCAAACTTTGGATAAAGATGCCTCTAATGATAGTGTTGCTGCGGGAGCGGTAGTTGGGGCAAATTGTACGGCTTCTGGCAGCCCGCGTTATACAAAAATCTATTGTTCCTCGGGCAATCTGGGTATTGGTAATATAATTACTAATCCCGGTGATTACCCGCGTAAAACAAAAGGTCCCATCTGTTTAACAGCGGCTGCAGCAGCGGTACAACAGAATTCCCCACAAACAAATGCCAATAGTAATCAATCTGGTATAGCTATAGTAGCGGGAGGAGAGTTGGGAGCCGGTTCTAGTAGAGTAAACCAGGATCATCAAACTTCACAGCCCAGATTTGCATTATTTGAAAAGGTTATCATAGTGGATGAAAGAGAGGTAAGTGCAAACAACTTTTAATTAAAATTTCTTTAAATTTAAAGAAAATTCTTTTAACAGAAACTTAATTTTTACAAAATTTTCTACAAAATATAATAGAACAAAAAAGAAACACTTTATCTTATTATAACTTCTTTCTAGATCTTCCATAACATCGATCAATGTCGTCGCATTGTTTGGCCCTTTGAAGCTTTACGCCAAAAAGGCGGCCGTTTATCGTGGGATGGCTGGGAACCTCGAGCCGGCATGGTGGGCTATGTCATACACATTTGGCGTCCCAATCATCCCAATAAAATGCATCGTACTCCTCTCAATCGTGATGTCTATCTCATAGAGATAGGCAAAAACTATGTGCCTGTAACGGCCAGCGGTCTAAGGCAATACAACCAAGCCATGGATAGTACACAAAAGGAAATTGAAACTTCCAGACGCAATTCCCTACAAAGAGAAATGTCTGAGCTAAGGCAACAGCAAGCAGAAAGGGGTTTGACACCCATACTAGGCAGCAGTTTAGAATCACCTACTTCTCTCATCAATGAAGCAGGCGGAGGACGCAATTCGGCTTTAGGACAAAAATCCAAAATACAAGCGGTGAGTAGTAGTTCTTCAGAAGATGAAAGTTGTTTATTACATCTACAAAAAGAAAGACAAGAAGAATATTTGAAAAATCTTTGGCAACAAGTCATAGAACAGGAACAAACTATTAAAGATGAAATACAAAATGCCACAAATGCAACAAATACCACACAGCAGCAACAACAACAACAACCACAGCTAGCTAGGGAACAAACCACTACAAGTTCCATAGATAAAATAAATGAACAAAAACTTGATATTAATAAAACTAAACAAATAGTTAACAAACAGACTGAAGAATTAGCAGATACTTCTCCAACTGAAACTGCTAAAGAAATGGTAGAACAATTGGTGGAGAATGTGGTAGAAGAATTGTGTGATAAGGTAGAGGTGGAGGAAAATAAACCGACAAATGCAGCTTTAGAAAGTGTTGAAACACAAGAGAAACATATTAATATTATAGAAATTAAGTCGGAAGATGTGGACGATATAGTGGGAGAAGAAGAGGTGGATGAGTGTGGTAATGTTAGTATTGTCTATAGCATTTAAAAGGTATGAAAACCTGAGAGAATTCTAGAGTAGAAGCTTTCAAAAAGCTAAGGAATTCTAAAGAAAACTTAAAAAAGTTTTTAAACAAGTAATTAAGGGAATTCAGCAGGCAATTAAACTCCAGGGAATGTAAGGAAAAGGCTTTGGAATTCGGAAAAAAACTAAAGGGGGTTTAAAGCACAAAAAAAGAGAAAAATATTATTCAAATATCTTTTGGAATTCAGGAAGCAAATGAAGGTTTGAGGGAAAACTAATTTTCAAAAAAGTTTCAGAAAAGGGGTTTTAAAACTAAAATTTGGGCTCCTTAGAGTTAAATTTTCTTAGTTTCAAACTTTCCTTGGTATACTTGAGTATGTTCCCAAACCTAACCTCAAATAAAATATCAAAAATCCTTTTTCAAAACTTATCTGCAGCTGTAATTTGAAAGTAAAGTTAAATTTATATTGAAAGCCACAGTATTAAACTCCAGGCCCTTAAAACTGACAGAAAATGTAACAATTTAATGAAAACTTATAACCTAACCTCCAAAAACAGAAAGAAATTGTAATTTTAACTAAAAGTTCTATTGTTTTTAAAGGTTTTAAGATTAAACTTTGATTTCACTATTCAAAATGAAAGAAACAAAAGAAATTGTGATTCTAACCTCAAAATTTTGGCAAAATCCGGGTTTCAAACCTTAATTTGGACATTTTTGTTAAAGAAATGATAAAACTTAAATGTTTATACTGATTTAGATGCTTTCTCTAAGTCACTGTTATTAAATGCGAATAAAATCTTATAATAACAAACTTTTGCCAAAACATAACCTCAAATAAAAAGAAAAATTGGCCAATTTTAAACTCAATATTGAGTTTTTTACATTAAAAGGTTGTTTTTTAAATTGAGTTTAGTTTATTTTTCAACTCTGCTATTGAAATTAAGTCTCAACAGTTTAAACCACAACTTTTTTTCAAAATTTAACCTCAAAATGCAAAATCTAACCTCAATTTTGAATTTTTGTTTAATAACTTTTGGAAATTAGTGGTTTACAAAGGTTTTTTTGTTTAATCTTAGTTTTTGGTATAAAAATAGTTTAATAGCAAACGTTTGCCAAAACATAACATCCAAATAAGAAAAAAATTGGCGTTTTTAACCTCAATATTGAGTTTGTTAGCCTAAAAACTTCTACAGTTAAGTAGTTTATAAATATTTCTTTGTTATAGTTGTTAACGTCAAAAATGAAGTTTAACCGAAATTATGGGAAACATAACCTCCAAAAAGAGAAACATTCAGGGGTACAATAATGTTTTTGTTGCCTTTAAGGAATAAATTCTTAGAATTTGGTTTATTTTTAAAGTTTATAATTAAAACTTTTATTAAACTCTACAATAGTAAACTTTTCTTCGAAACTTAAACTTTAATTAGAAGTTCTAACCTCAATTTTGACTTTTTTAACATTTTTTTATAATTTTGAGATTTATAAAGTTTTGATGTTTATTGGGAGACTTTGGTGGTAAATTAGTTTAAAAGCAAACCTTTTCGAAAGCATAACCTTAAAAGAGAAGTTTAAAACAAAACTTATTTTAAACCTAACCTCCAAAAACTGAAAAATAATGAGGTTATAAGAAGATTTTTGTTACTTTTAAGGAATAAACTCTAATATTTTATAAAATTTATAATGTTCTGCTAATTTACACATCTTTAGCATTAAAATTTAAACAAAACAGTTAAAAAGCAAAACTTTTTCCGAACCCTAACCTCAAAAAAGAAGTTTAAAACAAAATTATATGAAACATAACCTCAAAAATAGAAAAATATTGAGACTTTTTTAAGAAAACATTCAAAGTTTTAAAAAATTTCAAGGTTTATGTTAAATTTCTAAGTTTTTCAAACTTTTTTTCGGGAACATAACCTCAATAGATAAGTTTTAAAATAAAATCATATGAAACATAACCTCTAAAAATTAAAATAATGGAATTTAAGACAATATTTATGAATATTTTTCGAAATAAATTCAAAATTTAAATAAATTTTTTTGTTTTAGATAAAATTTTCAAAATCTTGTTGTTGAAAATTAGATAAAACGGTTTTTAGAACTTTTTTCGGAAACTTAACCTCAAAAAAATGAAGAATATTTAGAAATTCCCAAAAAAAAAACAATAAAAAATTGGAATATATATAGTGGCAGTTTTGTTTCAGTTTCCAAATGATTTTAAACATTTTTGATATTTTCTCAAACTTATTTTAATAAAATTGAATGAAACTTTGTAAAATTTGTTAAAAATCTAGATTTTGTGAAAACATAACCTCAAAAAATAGCTTTTTCTTAGTATTTTGTTAAAAATTGTTTAAAGTTTTAACAAATTTTTCAAGTTTTCTATAGTTTTTTTTATTATATTTATGGAAAACTATACAAATTTGTTACAAAACTCGAAATATTTGAAAACATAACCTTAAAATTTTTTCAATTATTTAAAATTAAAAGGTAAAAAAGTAAATTTTTATTATTTTTGAGTTAAATATTTATTAAATTTAAACAGTTTTGGATTATATTCAATATATGCTTGCTATTTGTTTGAAAATTGAAACAAATTTGTTAAAAAATGGACGTTTGTGAAAACATAACCTCAAAAAAACTTTTTAAAATTTGTTTAAATTTAATCATTTTATTATGTTTTCAATATTTTCTAAATAAATTTGTACAGTTTTAGGTTTTATACAAATTTTATTATGTTTTCAATATTTTCTAAATAAATTTGTACAGTTTTAGGTTTTATACAATATATGCTTGTTATTTGTTTGAAAATTGAAACAAATTTGTTAAAAAATGGACGTTTGTGAAAACATAACCTCAAAAAAAGTTTTCAAAATTTGTTTAAATTTAATAATTTTATTATGTTTTCAATATTTTCTAAATAAAATTGTACAGTTTTAGGTTTTATACAATATATGCTTGCTATTTGTTTGAAAATCTAAACAAATTTGTTAAAAAATAGAATTTTGTAAAAACATAACCTCAAAAAAAAGTTTTCAAAATTTGTTTAAATTTAATAATTTTATTATGTTTTCCATATTTTCTAAATAAATTTGTACAGTTTTAGGTTTTATACAATATATGCTTGTTATTTGTTTGAAAATCTAAACAAATTTGTTAAAAAAATGGAAGTTTGTGAAAACATAACCTCAAAACAAATTTTTCAAAATTTGTTTAAATTTAATAATTTTATTATGTTTTCAATATGGTTTTAAATAAATTTGTACAATTTTAGGTTATATTCAATATATACTTGCTATTTGTTTGAAAATCTAAACAAATTTGTTAAAAAATTGAATTTTGTGAAAATATAACCTCCAAAAAATTATTTTTTTTTCAAAATTTGTTTAAATTTAATAATTTTATTAGGCTTTCAATAATTTATTTTACATTTCAAATCATGTTTACTATATTTAGTTGGAATTATATATTATTTTTTTATAAAAAATTGCAAACTTTCAAAACCTTAAAATAATTAAAAATTTTCAACATTAAACTGTTACCTAAAGTTTCTTTAGTCAATTAGGGCCCCTAAAAACCAATAATCTTTAAATTATTTTAATATTTCAAATTAGTATTATAAATTTTACTAAAATTCCCAAAAGTTTCAAGTTTCTTTAGCAGTTTTCTGAAAATTTCTTTGAAATTGACGAATATATAAGGAAAAAAATGAGTTCCCTTAACCCCTAACAACGGTTATTTGTTAAAAATTTGTTTAAGATTTATTTATCAAGCGTTTCATTGTTTTCTTAGAAAAGAAGTGTAAATAAAACTTTTTATTAAAAAAAGTTATTACTAAACTTTAAGCTGTAAATAGGTATTTGTTAATTTTGCTTATAAAAAAAGTAATTTAATTAATTAAATATGGTTGTTCATTTAACATAAAAACAAACAAAAGATATATATAAATTATTATAAAGAAAGTTATTTAAAAAACAGGGTTATTTGTTTAATTTAATTATAATGTATTATTAAAAATATAATAAATATATAAATAAACAAAAAAGTTTTGTTAAATATTGTAACATATACTTATATATATATAAAAACAAAAATTCTTTACAACTGCTTTATTTAGCTGGCATAAATCTCTATGTTAAATTTAATATAAAAAAACAAAACAAAAAAATGTATTATAAATTTAATTAAAAAAACAAATAATTATATATAAATTAGTTATATAGAAAAACAAATAATACTCCATTTTGTAAACGAGTTTTTTTTTACTATTCTCAAAGCCAACAAAACGAGTTTTTCTTTAACTAATATTATGTTTTTCAATACTTTTTAAAACCCCAGAAATATGTATTATTTAAAGTTTTTAACAGCACAGAGTTGTGTTTTTTTAACTAAAAAAGCTTATAGTGTTTCAAATTTTATAAAAACTATAAAAACATCTTTATAAAAATAGCTCTATTTTAAAAAGAAATTTCATTTTTTAAAAACTATCTGCTATAAAAGGGTTTTATACAAGAAACGGTTTAACTAACAACTTTTTTCCCGAACATAACCTCAAAAGTGAAGTTTTTAAACACAATTTTGTAACCTTTGTTAAACAACTTTTAGCATTAAATGGTTTACAAAGTTGTTTTTTGTTTAATCTCAGTCTCTGGTGTTAAGAATGAACAAAACTAGTGCAATAGCAAATGTTTCCAAAAACATAACCTCCAAAAAATAAATGGAAAGGCGATTTTAAACTCCATTCTGTGTTTTTTGACATAAAAAGTTTATTTTTAACAATATTTTGTTTTATTTTTAAACTCTGCAATTAAAATTAATTCTTAACAGTTAAATAAACAATTTTTTTTCCAACCTAACCTCAAAATGCCAGTTCTAACCTCAATTTTGAAATTTTTGTTAAAGAACTTCTAAAAAAATAGTGATTTACAAAGGTTTTTTTTGTTTAAACTTAGTTTTTGGTATTAAAAATTCGAAAAATAGTTCAATAGCAATCGCTTTTCCAAAACATAACCTACAAAAAAGGAAAATAAGCGATTTTAACCTCAATTTTGAGTTTGTTTGCATAAAAACTTCTACAGTTAAGTGATTTATAAAGATTTGCTATTGAAATTAAGTCTCAACAGTTTAACCCACAACTTTTTTTTCAAAACTTAACCTTAAAAATGCCAGTTCTAAACTCAATTTTGAAATTTTTTGTAAAAATTTGCGATTTAAAAAAACAATTTCGTTTAAAACCCTTTTTATGACTTTCTCTTAAAAAATAGTGTAATTTCTTTAATTTTTTCAATTTTCTCAATAGAGCTAAACAAAAAAATTTATATAAAATAAAAAAAAAATAAATATTAATTATGTATTTAACAAAAAAACAAAATAGTTTTTAAGTTTATATAAATAGTTAAAAAGAAAAGTAAAGAAAAACAAAAAAAAAAAAGCTCTCATGTTGCCTTACAAAATTAGACTGATTTTTCTAACAAATATTAATAAAAAAGAAATTAAAGTAAAAAATAAAACAATTATAAACTAAACATAAAATTTAACAAAATAGTTAATTAAAAACAAACTAAACAAAAATTTCCTTGATTTTTTAAAAGCTCTAAACAAAATATTTATTCCCACTTCAAAACTATAAAAAATAAATAAACATACAAAAAAAAAAAAAAAAAAAATTAAAAACATTTTATAAAATTACCCAAAGATCATGATTTCTTTTTATATAAACAATTTTTTTTAATTTAATTAAAAATATTTATTTTGAAAAACCCCCTTTTTTATAACTTAATTTTTATTTTTTTTTTTTTTATAAATTATAACAAAAAAAAACATATCAATTATGTAAATTAATAAAATAACAAAAAAAAAAAAAAAAATATTTTTTATAAACAAAAAAATCTATATTGGTGCGTATTTTTAATTTTAAGTTTTCTTTTTCTCTTAATTTAAAAAAAAACTTTTCAATAACTATTCATAAGTTCTTTAAATTATAAAACTATTTATAACAAACAAAAAAAAAAACAAAAATTAAATAAATTATTATAATTATTAAAGGTTTAACTACATTTTAAAGAATTTGAAATTTATTAAAATAACAAAAAAAAAAAAAAAAAACAAAACTAATAAACATTTTAAAACTCTATGTTATAATAATATGCTAAAAAATAATAACCGTTTGTTTAATATATTTAAAAGTAAAATTATAAATTATATATCAACAATATTAGCTTTGTAAATATACATATACAACCAATAACTATATTTAAACAAGAAAAAAACAAAAACAGAAATATTGAACAAATTATGTAAAATTAATTATTAATATACTATAACTACTATTATGAAACAAAACAAAAAAGAAAACGGAAAAACAAAAAAATAATTGAAATATTATTGAGTTAATAAAAAGAAAATTATTAAAAAAAATTATTAAAGTTTTATAATTTAGTTTACATTTATAGTTAAAGCCACCCTAGTTCTTATAAACTAAAAGATAAGGCAGCGCAAAATAAAACGTTGAAACAGTTCACACAAAAAAAGAGATAAAAGAGTAAAAAAACATGCAAATTGAAGAACAGTTACAAAAAAACGTTAAAACGGTTCTTTAAAATCATACGGTAAAACAGTTCACAACATAAAATTGAAAGAAAGTATTAAAGATGTTAAAACAGTTCTCTTAAATGAAAAGGTAAAACTGTTTTTAAAAATCTATCTCAACAAAAAACCGAAAAAAACACTGCCAAACCTACAAAATCGCTTAAACCGCAAATGACAATCGCTTAAACAAGTAATGACAATCAAGCTGGCAACATTAAATCTTAAAAATAAAAACATAGTGGCAGCTTAAACAAAATAATACTGACAGTTAAGCAATGACATAAACCTTAATAAATACTGGCAACACTAAAAATCAAATGTCTATTACTACTAATGGCAATTGTTTTCACATAATATTGCAAAAAGTAAAAAAATAAACATTTCTTGTTTTAGTAAAGGCAATTTTATTTAAAAAATTCTATAAAATTGTAAAAGATTTTACATAAATTATCACTTTAATTTCCTATTTCCTAAACTGCAATTAAAACAACTTCCTTTCGGAGAAAAAAACTCAGCTTACACTCAATTAATTACACAAACTCTCTTACAAACTCCATTACATGCAATTTTTTGTTCTTTTTGCTATTCTTTTGTTTACTTTGCACACTTGTTGCTCTCACAACAACACAATAAACATAAATAAAATAGGGCATTTATAGAGTTGTTTGTTTTGTTATTGTGACGTCATGGACAAATACAGCACAAACATTGCATGCAAATTCTTGCACTTTCTATTGTTGTTCT